CATCATTGCGTGTGTTTTGTGAGATGGAGGAGGACTTTGTGGATTGGTGTTAGGCATATGGGCTTGGGCAGCACTGGGTTGGGATGTTTTCTTGATGTACACTTACCCTTTATATAAAACTCTCTCTTATACATATGAGTTTCTGTGGATTTGTTTCTCTAGTGTACCCAGACTAACACACTGCCTCATCTTTAAAATGCTTTTTATACAAAGACCTACGATTATCCCGAATTATTTTCATTCTCATTCTCTCCAAGCACTTCGTTTTGCAACTCTGCGGACCTACCTTCAGCAGACACCCATCTTCACTCCAGGTTCCTGGGGTATTAAATGAGTGAAGAAGCATAGTGTCCTGAGCCCCAACTTTTGGCATATGTTGAGTATGTGAACTATCATTGCTCACATGCCCACGTGCCCTCTTCTGTGCAACAACCCTGCTAAGCACAGCCTCGGGTACCTTGTTGGTAGTGCCTTCCTCTCCCATCCAATCATCCATCTACACAAAGCCTTTAGGTAGAAACTGCATTACATTGAACACTCTTAAAGAACCAACATGATAAAAACCTAGGGTTGCAGTGGAAGCTGTCCCTTAACGATCATTTATTACTATGCACACCATAATTAAAGGGCTTGGGGTACCTACCACAAAGGTAGCTTTGTTCAATAGGGTTTCACCTTCTATTGAGTGCAAGGGTGTTTGGAAGGATTTTAGGTTCCGAAAGTGCCTCTGTGTCATCTAAGTTCCCTAATTTACTATTCCTCATCCTTGAGTTCCAATCACAAGTTAGAAATCGATAAGTATTTAATCCTGAGCCTTTCCCATTCCCATGCCCCTTTTGGAACACTGATCAGTTTAAGACACCTTGAAATGGGAAGTCACTTTCTTGATACAACCAAAACCGAACCCTGCCACTGAGTCGATGCCGACCCACAGTGGCCATCTAGGACAGGGCAGGAATGCCCTCTGAGTTTCTGGGACTGTAACTCTTTATGGGAGTAGAAAGCCCTGCCTTCCTCCTGAGGAGCAGCAGGTGGTTTCAAAGTGCTGACCTTATGGTTAACTGCCCAGTGCTTAACCACTACACCACCAGGGCTCCGCTTTAGCCACACACGATACCACTCCTAGATCTACACCGCCACCATCCAGAACTGTTCTGAAACTGTGACAAATGAAACATCTCTTAATATAAGTCATTTGCTTCTCACAATTCATTTCTTTTTTTTAAAATCATTTTATTAGGGGCTCATACAACTCATCACAACCCATACATACATCAATTGTGTAAAGCGCATTTGTACATTCATTGCCCTCATCATTCTCAAAACATTTCCTCTCCTCTTAAGCCCCCAGCATTAGATCCTCATTTTTCCCCTCCCCCCCCGCTCCCCTCTCCCTCATGAGCCCTTGATAATTTATAAATTATTATTTTGTCATATCTTGCCCTGTCCGACGTCTCCCTTCACCCACTTTTCTGTTGTCTGTCCCCCAGGGAGGAGGTCACATATAGTTCCTTGTAATCAGTTCCATCTTTCCAACCCACCCTCACTCTATGCTCCCAGTATCACCACTCACACCACTGGTCCTGAAGGTATCATCCACTTTTAGACTGAGGCTTAAGAAATGGAGTGCCCTTTGGTTATTTGTCAGTAGTGCTAAAAGAGTTTTGTGCTATTGTCTGATCAGGACAGAGGCCAGCCCAGGGGGCCAATGGCCAGAGAGTAGCCTGCTTAAGCCATGACAGAAGACATGGTCTCAACTGAAGAAATGTATCCGGAACATTTCTAATCCTTCATTGTAAAAGATGCATGTCTTTAATAACTCCCATGATGATGAGTATGATTTGTGAGTTCTATGTGACCATTGCAGTGAATTATGAAAGAAGTAGATCATGCTGTGAAAGGATTGTTGGTAAAGAAGGTTGGAGGATGGGGGCATGTTTGACCTCTGCTTCATAGACACTGGCCTTGGGCTCATGTTGAGTTTGATCCTCCTTTCCCCTTATGTAGTCAGAGGAGTCCAGATGCTGCACCAACCCCATTTTTCCAGGCTTGGACTACCAGAAGAATGAACAAAATTGTCCTGGAAGAAGTATGCCCTTAGAAGGGACGGTGGCTTGCCTGGGTCTCATGCACTTTGGAGCTGTTGTAAGGAGGGTCTTGTCCCTGCAGAAGAGTATCAAGCTTGGCAAAGTAGATAGTCAACATGAAACAGGAAGCCCGGCAGTGAGACAGACTGCTAGAGTGGTTGCAACACCAGTTCAAACAGCAAAGATGGTGAGGCTGGGTCAGGACTGGGCAGTGTTTAGTTCTGTTAGTTTCTGCTGTTCATTGGGTCATTATGAGTCCAAAGGGAGTCATCGTCACCTAGCAATAACAGCACAAGCGTATTACATTATAACTATGGTGTGGTAAAAGAATCCATTTTTTAAGGATAAACATTTGAGGGGAAAAACAAAACAGCCTGATTTTGTAACCCTCTCTTGGCATTCCAGGATGTTTGAATATTAAAAACCAAACCAAACCAAAAGAAAACCCTCACTGCCATGGAGTCAATGCTGATTCATAGCAACCCTCGGGGTTTCCCAGACTAACTGCTACAGGAGTAGAAAGCTCAATCTTTCTCCCGAGGAGCTGCTGGTGGTTCTGAACTGCCGACCATGCTTAACCATGCCACCACCAGGACTCCATGTGCTTGAATATACTGTGAGTTTAAAAAGAAAAAGAAAGTGCCTTGTGGGAACCCTGGCTAACCCCCAGCTTCCGGGGTGCCATTGAAGGGGATCTCACAGTCAGTGGACTGGTGCCTCTCCACATCATAGTCTCTAACCATGTTTCTAAGGAGCCCTGATGGCACTGTTCTGTGAGCACTGGGCTGCTAAGCAGATCAGTCATCAGAGCAAGATGAGGTTATCTGTTCACATGAAGATTTACAGAAACCCTGTGGAAGGTCCCTCTGAGTCAGAATCTGATTGATGGCAGTGGGTGAACGATGTTTCTAGGAGTCTCCAGGCAGCCTCTTCCCAGTAGGATCATACGGCGATTCTGAAGCTCACCACCGTCTGCATCATGTTTTCTCACACACACCCCCCCCTTGGTGGCTGTGGTGTTAGGCCCCATCAAGTCAATTCACACGCATAGATGTACAACATCTATGTTCATCCTATCTACAACAGGATGAAATGCTGCGGGGTCCACACCATCCTCACAAGTTTGCCGTATTTCAGCCCATTGCTGTAATCGCTGCGTTAATTCATCTCATTAAGGATCTTCTTTTTTGCTGATTCTCTAGCCATCATGATGTCTTCCTGATTACATGTCCAAAGTACACGAGACAAGGTCTGACCATTCTCCCTTCTAAGAAAATGACATCATTGCCAAAGGTCAGAGAAACAGAAGCCATCAGGCCCCAAAAGTTTTCCCGTCTTAGACCCCTCCCCAATTCCATAAAACATTTGTTTAAAAATAATGGGTTGTAGATACTAGAGTTCCACTTGTCTTAGTCTTGTTAGGGTTTCTTTTTTTTTTTAAGTGCTTTTTGTACCATTTGGTGTAATTCTGAGGTTAGAACCAATGCAAAATGTTGAACAAAACTCAAACGGTCATCTTCTTAAATCAGCAACAAGTTGATGGGAATGTTGCCTCACCTAAAACAGCAGTTGTCAACCTTGCGAAATGAAGAAACTATGATTGAAGTCCAAAACTGGGCAAGGAATTCTATAGAATTACTATGGATTTGATAGCTGCTGAAGATGGGCTCTCACATGGTTCAGCATTCTAATTCTAAGTGACCATTTCGGTCTCAGTAAGCTTTCAGCTCAGCGCATGCCGGGAGTGTTGTGTGAAATCGGCTAGCTCAAAGAGCTGAACTTTCCACCAGTCTTTCAAGCAAGATGGAAGCTAATGAAGGCAATTTTATGGAGCAAATTCTAACTGGGGATGAGTCTTGGATTTACAATGTGATCCAAAAAAGAAGGTCCAATGAAAATAGTGACTTTTAAGGACATCCGCTAGGCCAGGTATGTTAATCCAGGGAGGTTAGCGCAGAAGGTTATGGTGACTGTTTTGGGATTCCAAAGGGGTACTCGTCATAGATTTTCTCAGGGGACATTGGATGCTCACGGGGGCTCATTAAGAAGAAGTTTTTAGGAAAACTGAAAACTTCCTTGGTGAGAAAAAGGTCAGGAAAGTTCTCAGAGTTGTCCGTTTGTTTGGGGTTTTTTTCCCCATCACTCATTCTTTGAGAGTACCAAGGGCTGTGGTATGAAAATGTCATTGCGAAACCTCACCCATCTACCCTACAGCCCTGGTCTTGCCCTTTCAGACTTCATTCTGTTCCCCAAACTCAAAGAACATTAAAAAGAACAGTCTACACTGTCCTATAGGGTTGTTATGAGTCAGAATTGACTCGATGGCAGTGAGTTTGATGTCTCTGTTTTGTTTTGCTTTGGGGGGTGGGGGTGGAGGGGTGTTTCAGGATGCCAAAGCTACCACTTTGCTGTGGTGTGAATTAAGGCAGAATTCTTTGGGGAGGGTTAGAGAGATGGAAACATCACCTTCGGAAGTGGATAGACCTAGATGGAAGGTATGTCAAGAAACAATAGCTTCACATGTTACTATTTTTTGTTTAGTAAAGATTTCTAGGACTTTGTCGCTACGAGACAGCACTGACTTGCTGGCAGGGTGTTTGAGTTTGAGGATTTCGTAGGGATGTTTTTCCGTTTACTCTGGTCTAGCCGCAGGGGACCTTCCCCAACAACCTTTTCAAAAGCCGTCGTCCATATACCTGTTCTTCACTTCTTCAACTTTCGTTTGTTATCCTTCAACTCAATGCACCTACAATTGAACCCTTCACCCCTGCCTCCTTCACATGTGCACCCCTCCAAGACACGTCCTCCTCCTGATTCAGAGTCAGTGACCTCATGATCCACCCACTTGTGCAAACCAGAGCACTGAGTGTCTTCTTAACCACTGAGGTCCTTCTATCACCTCCAAACACTTACCTTTTCTTCCATATCTCTGAAAACACAGCTGTCCGACGCTGTGCCCAAGTTCACTTTTACTTCACTTCCCATCATTCCGTGCAGTGCTGCCCAAACCATGCCCCTGCTTCTAGGTTTATCTGGCTCTCAGACTTCTGATCTTGCTGTCAGTGTGATCTAAGCAACCTGCAGGTCTGTTCCTGGCGTGGTACTATTTGGGGCAAACACAAACCGCTCAGACGTCTTGGTCTGGCATATAAGGAACATAACTATTCTGACCTTGCTTCTCGCTCTCCAACCATCTCTTGCCACTCGCTTCATTGTTTTGATAGGCTCAATTCACTTTATTATTTTTTATATAAAATTTTCTACGTGGAAGCCATGGCTGGAGCCTGGTTCCTCTGCACGGAGAGTCTTCACAAGATGGTCAGTAAATTCCTGGTAGGGAGACTTGGTGAACACTGTCCCTTTGCAGAGGTCGGGGGTCAGGTGGCTGTAGATGGGCTTGGTGAACTTGCCCAGGGTGGCTGTGCAGCCCCTGGCTGAGGTGCAGCAATCGTTGATCCCCGCCATGCCATCAGCAGCAGCTTCTTGGGCACAGGGGCTGAGACTACCAGTGCCCCTGGAGGCAGCGATGAGACAGACAGACCCACACAGACCCACAGCAGCCCGTCCCCATGCAGGGAAGTGTGTGAGGCTTGCTGATCTTGTTCCCCCATTAGCCTCACCGCAGGGCGACAATGGACAGCTTGGCCCGGATGATGGCCTCGCGGATGGCGGTGGCGACTTCCTTGGAGCACTTGACACCCAGGCCAACCTGGCTGTTGCAGTTCCCGATGGCAACAAAAGCCTTGAACTGCGCTTGGGCCTACTCGGGTCTGCCTCATCCTTGAGGGCCATCATCGTTAGGGCCTAGTCCTTGAGGGCCATCCCCAGGAAGGTGTCAATGTCCTCCTTGATGGACAGGGCAAACAGATAGATCACCTCCAGGGACATAATTTTCAGGTCCTGGACCAGAGGACCCAGCTTGGTTTTCCCTAGACCATAGTAGTGTTTACCTATTTCCATACATCCCCTCAAATCCAGTTACCATATAATAGTCACAACAATCTTTGAAAATATACAGTGCTCCTTGTTTAAATCCTTATAGTGGTTTCTACTGACCCTGGATCCACACAACCCTGCACTCACTGGCCTGTGATCTTCCTGCATCCTGTTTCCCCTTTCTGTGTCATTGGCCTGCAGCTACCTGAGTCTGAAAAGGGCTTTGGCTAGCATCAGATCCACGGACTGGGCTGAGATGCCTTCTTAATATTAGATAACTTCTTGGTATAAAGCTTTTAAAAAAAATCATTTTATTGGGGGCTCCTACAGCTTATAACATTCCATACATCAATTGTATCAAGCATATTTGTACATAAGTTGCCATCATCATTTCCAAAACATTTTCTACTTCAGCCCTTGGTATAAGCTCCTCTTCCCCCCCCTCCCCCCTCGTGAATCCTTGATCAATTATATAGTTACTGTTAGTTCATATCTTACACTGTCCATTGTCTCCCTTCACCCACATTTCTGTTATTTATCCCCTTTGAGGGGTGGGGGGACTATATAGCCAACCTTGTGATGGATTTCCTTTCTCCCCCTTCCCCTCCCTGACCACCCCCCTGCCCTCAGGATATTGCTACTCCCACTACTGTTCCTGAGGGGGTTATCTGTCCTGAATTCCATGTGTCCAGAGCTCTTATCTGTAACAATATATGTTCTCCGGTCTAGCCAGATTTGTAAGATAAAACTGACCCATGGTAGGGGTGGTGGGGGTGGTAGGAATCATGGTAGGTGGAGGAGGAAGCAATCAGGAACTAGAGGAATGATGTGTGTTTCGTTGGTGTTATACTGCACGTTTGTTGAATCGTCCCTTCCTTATAATGCTTCTGTGGGGGGATATCCAATTGTCTACAGCTGGGTTTTAGGTCTCCACTCCAAAGCCCTTGTTCACATCTATATAGTTGTTGGTTTGGATCTTTTGATACTTGATCCAATCGACACCTCATGATCACACAGGCTGGTGTGCTTCTACCACGTAGGCTTATTTGCTTCCCTGCTGGATGGCTGCTTGTTTAACTTCAAGCCTTTCAGACCCCAAATGCTTTATCTTTTGATAGTTGGACACCATCTGCTCTCTTCACATTTGCTTATGCACCCATTTTGTCTTCAGCAATTGTGTTGGGAAGGAGAGTATCAAAGAGTGCCAGGTTATTAAAACAAAGAGTTCTTGTGTAAAGGGAGGCCTTGAGTAGAGGTCCAAAGTCCATCTGACATCTTAACATATAAATAAATATATGTACATTGGTCTCTATCCCTTTGATTATAAATCAGTTTATTTACATATATACATGCCTGTAGCTATATCACCCTCCATTTGACTCTCAGTAATTCTCCTCTAAATCATTGCCTTGATTAAGCCCCACCAGGCATTATATGCCCTCCTTGCCATCAATTTTAGATATCTGATTTGTTTGCTCACCACTCCCACTCCCCGCCCCCTCCTCTCCCATGTCCTCCATAACAACAGGTCCCGTTGTTTTTTCCTTCGGATAGTGCATCCTGCTCATCTTATAGACATATGGCAAAAGAAAAACAAAACAAATGTTTTGAAATGATGGCAACATGTGCACACGTGTACAAATGTGCTTGACACAATAGATGTATGTATGGATTGTGATAAGAGTTCTAACAGCCCCCAATAAAATGATCTAAAAAAACTAAAACCAACCAACCAACCAAATGAACATAAGCCAGTCTCACAAGATTAATGAGGTAAAACTAGGACCATAATAAGGGGAGGAAATATTAAATAACTGGAGGATAGTTATGTGTTTCATCGGTGTTGTACTGCACACTGGATAAATCATCCCTTCTGTGTGGCCTTTCTATGAGAGACCGTCCAAATATCTTACAGGTGGCTTTTGCGTCTCCACTTTGTCTATGTTTCTTCACTTCCATTTGATCACTTGTTTTTGAACTTCTGATACCTATTTCTGTGAACACCTCATGATCACACAGGCTGGTGCGCTTCTTCCATGTGGGCTTTGTTGCTTTCCTGCTAGATGGCCGCTTGTTTGACTACAAGCCTTTAAGATACCAGATGCTTTTTAATAGCCGGGCACCATCAGCTTTCTTCATCACATTTGTTTATGCACCCATTTTGTCTTCAGTGATAATGTCAGGAAGGTGAGTATCATACATTGCCACATTATTAGAACAAACCATTCTTGTACTGAGGTAAGATTTAAGTAGAGGCCCAAAGTCCATCTGCTTCCTTACTGTGTATATATTGACAAATATACCTAACTTTACATATTTACATTTATATCTACATTTATACCTATATATATGATTTTTACTTTCTTGTTCTTTACTCCTGCCCCACTATCATGTTAACCCATCATTCATCTCTCAGTAATTCCTGTCAGAACCTGAAAATACTTATACCAATGGTGGGAACATAAAATTGTCACAACTTTGAAGGGTTAATTGTCAATATCTAGCAAGGCTGAATATAGTCTATCCCAAATATAAATCTTTACAGAAACACAGGTAGTGTTTCTGTAAAGTGCAAGCTACACTATCTGTGGGACACCTACCCCATGGACTGTGTTGCTGTAATTTGAGGTTCCTTCAAGACCTGCTTCACCACACTATTGGAATTTACATCTCTTGAGCTGGGGACTGTCGGACCCTGTCATCTGGCTGACTGCTGGTGACCTGCCTTGCTGTTTTCAGGATAGCCTGAATTGTTCTACAGAGCTTCCAGTGTCTCATAACTGTTTCACGGGAGTGAGTTGCACTGAGCCATTTGTACTGCTTTGTAATTTAATTCATTGCTTATTTCTTATGTTTTATATCTATCAGTATAAATATATATAAAATTATTAGTGCTCTGGTTTTGTTTCTCTAGAGAACCCTAACACAGGTGGATAGAAAGGAGCTATTTGAGAAAGATTGGGGGGGGGGGGAACTCCAAGAAACTGTTTGACAAAAAAACTAAGTTTACAAAATTTATGCATAATGTTTCCATTTATGTAAATGTTTAACCCTCAGAAAATATATTGTGAATGGAAGCATACATATGTAGTAAAAATATGTGCAAAGCAAGCATATAGAACAACTTTAGGATATTGGTTATTTCTAGAAAAGGAAAGAGGGAATAATTTAGGAGTATAGGTTTTAGTTGTGTTTCTAACACTTTATTTCTTAAGAGAATCTGGTTGAACAGGAAGGAAGTAGGTATGGCATGAAAGAGGAGTCCTTATGGCATTGGAATTGTTCATTAGTTTAACTGCAGTAGTGGACAGGAGACCTGTGGCATAGTGGGTTCCAAGTTGGGCTGCTAAACTCGAGGTCAGTAGTTTGGAACCACTAGTAGCTGGTTAAGAGAAAGAGGAGGCTTTCTACTCCCATAAAGAGTTCCAGTCTTGGAAATCCACCCTCTCTCTGCCATTGAGTCGATGATGATGGCTCACAGCTGATCTCCTAGGGGGCAGGGGTAGAACCACCTCTGAGTTTACGAGACTGGAACCCTTTAAAGGAGTAGTCTGACGGTAGTTTTGAAAAGCTTGCCTTGGGGTTAGTAGCCCACCTCATAACCATCACTACACCACCAGGGTTCCTGGTTGGAAACCCACCGGAGCAGTTCTATTCTGTCCTATAGAGTTGCTTTAAGTGGCAACAGGAACTTACACACACAGGTGGTAAACTTTTATCTATCAGGGTTATATTCCACCAGTTTTGCAAAACGTCCTTACTGGGGTGAAGGGAGCAGAATACACAATGGATCTCTGTACTACTTCTTATAATTGTATATGAATCTAAATGATCTCAGTAAGAATTTTTTTTTCATTATTTATTTATTTATTTTTAAGTTATTTTATTGGGGGCTCATACAACACATCACAATCCATACATACATCAATTGTATAAAGCACATTTGTTACCCTCATTCTTTTTTTAAAAAATTATTTTACTCAGTAGCAATTTTTAAAATTTGAACTAAATATGGTAAGATTTTCCAATTGTCGCTATGGTTGGCCACT